TCTTTCTTTCTTTCTTTCTTTCTTTCTTTCTTTCTTTCTTTCTTTCTCTGTCTCTCTATCTGTTTCTCTCTATATATCTTTGTCTCTCTGTCTCTCTCTGACCCTCCCCCTCTATGTTTATATTTCTCTTTTTCTCCTTGAGATATGGACGAACTATGTAGCTCCAGGTGGCCTGGACTTAGATGTACAGATGAGGCTGTCCTGGAACTAAGAGATGCATACCTGCCTCTGCTCTAGTGCTGTGTGTGAGAAAGGTATGGGCAGGCCACCACACATGATGCATTGCTGCTGTTCACTGAATCTTCTTCAAAGGTAGTCTGCATTTATTCTCTATGATGAAAACTCATTTTTTTCAGTTAAAATATGTATGCTCAGGGTTACTTTTCATATTGTGTTTAATTATTGCTGATGAGAAGTATCTCTGAAAGTTTTTTTTAGCTTCCTCATAAAGACCAACTATTGCTTAAAGGTCTTGCCAGGCAAATGAGGTTCATGATCCACAAGGGACAGAAATAAAGTGTTAAATTAGGTCATTGAAAAGAACTGCCTAATATGAAAACAACTGCTTCCTGTAGGAAACTGATCACGACAGGATTTCTGCACTTAAAGTCTGAAAAATGAAATTAGGTGACAAACATTTAGTCCATGGTTGAGTGACGCTATAAATACTTCAAACTGCTCTTTGTGGTTTGAGGGACTTGTATATCAGAACTATGTTATGTTAACTTATCTTGCATTGCTTGATATTTAAGTCTCTTCAGAGTGCTCTCATTCTGCTGTCTTTTTTTTTTCCTGTCTTCTATTCTTTGAAGAAAACAGAATGCTTATGCTGCTGCTGGTGGTGACCACGATGGCTCAGCATGAGTTGGAGTCTTCTTATTTCTGTCTTGCCATTTGGTACCTTTGTTGTCATGGTTTGTCAAAGGTTCCCTGAGAACTTGCACATTAGGCCTTAATCTTCAAGGGCAACTTCTCTAACCTTCCTTAACTTCAAGGATAGGATGATACACTGAGGGTAAGAAGCATGGACTTGTTGTTTGTTAGCATCATTAAATAGACAAAGCTCTGGAAGGGAACAATGTGCAGAACTCATTTGTGGTCTGAAGTCTGGAGAGATCACTTTGCTGGGGGTTGACATGTCCACTCTCCCTCTTCTCAGTTAGCACTGGCCGGGGCTGTCGCTCTCTGTGGGGAACAGAATTCTCTGCAGCTACTTCACTCTTTATTGTTCCACTGTGATGGAACAGTCTGCTGAAACGATCATTTGTCATCCTATCTCTTTAATTTACAGTAAAGGATGGCTGCAGCCCAGATCTTAGAACCAATATGAGAGACCAGTGAAGGCTGCAGTGAGTGGCACATTGAATCAGTAATGTGGTGCACTAATGCCAAGATCTGTAGCTAGATTAATAGAGCCAGAGTTGATCAATGCAATTATATTGACAAGGAGAACCTTGATGCTTAGAAAAAGACAAGATAAAACAAAACAGTGACATATGAATCCATGAGAATCAAGAAAAGCACAAAGTAAAGAGATTCTTAAGACACCTAAACAAAAAAATTAAAAATAAGACTTTTTCCTCTTTTATCAATTAGAGAATCACTGACTGGATTTCTGAAAGATTAGAAGGTCATTAGGAAACAAGTTGACCTGATACTCTAAAGCTACTTACCTGTAACTGCTCCACTTCCCCCAACCCGTCCCCCTCTGTCTCTGTCTCTCTGTCTCTGTCTCTCTGTCTCTGTCTCTCTGTCTCTCTCCCTCCCCCCCTCTCTGTCTCTCTCTCTCTCTTTGTGTGTGTGTGTGTGTGTGTGTGTGTGAGAGAGAGAGAGAGAGAGAGAGAGAGAGAGAGAGAGAGAGAGACAGACTTTCATAAGCTAAAATACAGGGTAAATAAGAATATACACAATTTGTTGGTTTTATTGAATAATCAGCCCAAAGTGGCCAGGTGGGTACCAAAGCACACAATAAGATGAGTAGAGACTAAATGCTGTCAGAAATCCATCCTCTGGTACTGAATAGACACTGGATACCCCACCCTTAAATGATTACGCATAGTTACTCCATCCCACCAGCTATGTATTGACTGTCTCCTCTATCCAGTTGTCACCATTAAAAAGTAGACAAACAAAGGAAACTTAAAAGACCAATGTGAATGTGCAAGAGATGTAATTTCCTTGAAGTGAGATGACTTACAGAGATGATAATTAGTGGTAAAAAAAAAAAGCTGAGAGAATAATGGAAAGAGAATGGGCCATTTTCTGTGTTTGTATTGTATTTTATATTTTGTTTTGTTTTGTTTTGTTTTGTTTTATAGCATCTGTCTTCTAATACCCATCAGAAACATGACCAAGATTTGATATAGGATGCAGAGAAGAGCAAATGTCAGGCTAAAGTGGTGGAAGCAGAATCAGTATGAAGGCTCGTGTGTAAAGCAATTAAGTGGGAGCTTATCTGCCCCGAAGACAGGGACTTGCTTGGCCCTGGTGTGAGATTTGGAGTAGATGTACAGCTGGGGGTTTGTGTATTTGGGGACATTACATTCTGTGCCTTGAGAAGGCAGAGAAGGCAGATGGCAAAGGCAAGGATATTGAAGTCTGAAAGGCTCCAAAAGATCAAACAAAGCTACAAGCTATCACAGAGACAAGTTAATTATCCTCTGTAAATGTGTAGCTTTTTCATCTGAAAGATAATCAGGACTATGGTAGCACCTACCTCATTTTGTGGGAATAAATAAGGCAGATTTCCACCAGGCACTTAACAACAGTTGGCACAAAGCATTACTCAAGCAGTAGCCACTCTTGATTGATCACTATCATTTTATTCTCAAGAACAAACCATCTGGGTGGTCTATAATATTTTACAAAGGAGACAGTCTAGACAGATTCACCAATTAGAAGGCAATTAGACTAATGAGGATCTCGTTAGGCAGCAGCCACTCCAAGAGGGAGAATGAAGGACAGAGTTACAGCAGTTGGGACTCTGGGATTTCAAAGATAAAAAAAAAATAAAGATGATACTGAAAGTTAGGTAAAAAAGAAAGTTGAGTTTGAGGTAGACTCCAGTGGCCACCAGATGTAATCGTGTTGAAAGACAAGGGAAGACCACATCCAGAACTGAAAGGTTGTCTGTCAGTTTAAGTTGCAGATAGCATTTTTCTGCAGATATTACAGAATGTGTTCTACTTGCTTTGAAGTTCAAACATTCAATTCGATAGAAAGGAAAAAGAGCAAACCCACAAATGGCTGCTGAATCACCACCCCATCTTTCCAGCAAACAAGGGGAGTCTATGAGCAGGGATCTTGCCTTTCTATTTCTCTTCAGTTTTCCATAGTATTTCTGTAAATATGGGCCAGTTGTCAGAGCTTTTCTGTGCCTTCAGTACTCTTAGGGCAATGCTCATAGTCCTTTTAGAATTGATATGGAATTCAATTTACCCTATGACCTTGGTCATAATAAGAAAATTGTTTAACATACTGAGTTCCCTGTCATGTCTTTGTTTTGGTAACACTATGAAGCAATAGTGCTCTTCATCTCAGCTAGGAACATATTGACCTAGTAAATGTGTAGAAAACCTAACGTTTAAGACTAAGGCTACAGTTGTAGGGTTTATTTTGTTTGTTTTGTTTTCTTGTCATTGCTTTTCATGGTCGTTTAAGATCGACTATGCCAGATTGACAAAGAAAGAGGTTCTGGACTGTGTCTATTTAAAATTGTCAAAGATAATGCTTGGCAGAACAGCTTATCTGCCCACAGCTGGCAGAAATGCAGCAAATGACAAAGTGGTATTGATTAGCTCCCTAAGGAATGCTTTTTAAACTAGGTGAAGTGAATATCTGCTATCTGTTAGGAGTGTGGTTAGAGTTTGTGAGAACTAGCCAGCATAGAGAGATACAGACATAACAGCACTCAAAGATGCAGTGGGAACAGAAAGTAAGGGAAGAATAACTTCCTTTTGTTCCTTAAGTATTCCATGGTTTGAGATAATTTAACCTGAGACACAGATGCTCATACACAGTGACTTTTTCCCTCTTCCCTTCTCCCTGCAGAGCAGCCTAAAGACAATCCTGGCTTTTTAGCCAAGATTTTCTCAGCATCTCCTCTCTCCTGGGCACTTGGCCATGTAGGGGATATAGTGTAGAAGAAAGAAAGCAAAGGCCAGAGACTATAAAACATGGCTAGAGGGTTGGTTTAGGGTTAACAATATTAGCATCAACCTGACTATAGTCTGACTTTTCCTCCGTATTCTCTAATGTCATGCAGCTCCCGTTGTTTGATGCTAAACTCCTAAGAGCAGTGATGGAGATCTGTACTGAGCCCGAGAGATGGAGGGATTTGAATTAGCATGCGCTAATTCCTCTGAGTGGCAGGCTCCTTGCTGCTGCCATTCCTACAGGCCATCATCTCAGTTTCTTTTAAAGTTCTCATGTTGTTTTATAGTGAAGAAAAGGAGCATATGGCCTCAATACACAGACATACAAAAGGCTTGTGGGTCACCCCCACTTTCTCTGCTGTAATTGTATTTAGAAAGCAGGTGGCCAGCACTTAATCACACAGGGAACATCTTTTAGAGGAGAAGCAGAATTCCCTGCACACAGACATTCTAGAATTCTAGAGGTAGATGAATTAAGACCCTGAGGAGAATTCTATCTTGGCAAGATGGTTGGGGCTACGTAAACCTTTAAATTTTTTCTCCTTTCCCCTCAACCTAAATTGTTCAGAAAAATTTTCCTCTGAGCCCACAAGGCTACAAATCATAAAATGTACAGTGCTCATTCACATGTGTGGGCACCTCCATTCCCTGATGGAGAAATGCTGAGACTGCAGGAACTGTCTTAGGTTTGTTTTACTTCATAGTAACAAGACATGAGTATACAGTGGTAGAGGTAGAGGGGATCTCATGGTTTGTTTTCTTAACTCCCTGTTTTATCAAAGGCAGAAGTGAAGAGGTGTATTCATCAGCACATGGCAGCTGTTAACAAGAAAAGTAAATTCAGAAATTATCTTCTAATGCTAGTCCATGTTCCTCTAAACTCCCCATTCTTGATATTTTGGGCTACTCTGGTTTTTATCCAGAAGCATAGAATCCTGTAAACTCAGCTTTTAGGCCATATTTTTTTTTTTTTAACTCAGGGCCTTGTGCATGCTAAGTAGGCATTCTGTCCCTGAGCCCCAGTCCCAGTGCCCAGGATATCCCTCCCATCATCTATTATGGTTAGTAAGATGGCACTGAATGAAAGAAAAATGGATAGCTTCCTGAGTAGATCTGAAGTAAACCAGAGATTTCTGTAGTTATTATCAGTGTTTTATCCTTTGCAATGTTAATATGGTCCTAGTTCAGTTTGTCTACACAGAAATCCAAAGGTGTAAACTCATTCATTGCCCATGGACACTTTTGATATACAGCACTCTTTATTTTTGTTTTAAAAAAGGAAAATTGGGGCATCAGGACCATCCCTCCATAGGCTCATATGACCTGGCTGTGGAAGAAAAGATTTTCTGGCATATCTAAAGAATAACATCCCAAATTTGATGTGCCTTCGCATGTGCATTTTCTCTTTTTCTCAAATGTCTTCTCCATATTTTCTCCTTTTAAAGTTACACTATATATAGACAAGTTAATATTTAGTTAAAATTATTTCAACCCTTGCCGTCTCAATGCCATCCCTTCCAGTGCGTTAGGATCTTGTGGGTTTGGTGGTATGGAGAGACGGATAGGCTTAAAGTTTCTCCTAGCTTCTTTGGATTCAGCTTCCTTTGCATGCTAATTATGATCTTGATGATACCATTACTTTTCTGCACATGGCACTTGACAACTCATGGGTTCTTTTCCTATATTTCCCAGAAGCTCTGTGGAGTCAAGTTTGGGTGTAGCACAGTACTCTAGAAACCCACTGGCTTAAAGCATAGACAATGTTTGTTGATTTATTCAGTTCTGGACATGGAGAATTTGGATGTTTCTCACCCAAGAACTTCTGACCCAAGGTGTCTCAGGAAAGCTTGAAAGGAGCTAGAAGATCAGGTTGCAAGATGGTTCACTGGGTGGTACTGGTGTTGGTAGGACCCCTCAGACCCAGTCTATGGGTTCCTTTTTATATATGTTTAAACAACATAAATACAGTTTTCTTCTGTTCTTTAGCCACCTGAATCATGCTTCAGAAACCTGACTCTTGCTTTTTTAAAAAAATATATATCTTAAAAGGACCTTTAAGACTGAATGAGACCTGGGCATGGTGGAGCACACCTTTAGTCACAGCACTCGGGAGGCAAAGGCAAGCTGATTTCTCTAAGTTTAAGCACAGTTTGGTCTACAGAGTAAGTTTCAAGACAGCCAGGGCTACACAGAGAAAACTTGCCTAACAAAACAAAATAAAACAAAACAAAACAAAACAAAACCCCCAAACCAAAATGAACAACCAAAAGACTAAATAGGATAACATATGAAAGCTGTGAAATCCTTCAGGCTGAGGAGAAAACTTCATGAGAATGTGGGTTTCTGTATTTCACACTCCACAGTGTGTGCATATTCTATGCTGTTTAGTTGTTTAGACATGAGTGAAAGAAGGAAAGTAACTTTCATAAAGATGAGGCTTTGATGTTTAGAATCTAATTTCAGGAATTAACCTTTTAGATTTTTCCTATTTGAACTAAGAATTCAACATTTGTGGAATTTTCAATATTATGAAATCTAAAGACCAGCCCAGAACAGTGGATAGGAAGATTTGTAAATCTTTAAACTGGAGGAAAGATATGCTATACAGATGTACTAATATGCTATATGGATGTAGCTGTAATGAGATTGTGAATAGTTTAAAAAAATATAATAAATCTAATTATTATAAATCATAACTAACCAGGAAAAAATACAAATTTGAATATTAAAAACAACATATGTTTGTGTTGCTTAAGTATCTTTTATGACTCTCAAATTTGGAAACATACAGGATTTGTGTATAATTTTTCTTGTTTCAAATAGTTTGAACATTTTAAAAATATATTTTGGCTAGAGATAATTCACACACATTCAGCCCATTGTTTAAATTCATGAAAATAACTTTTTCATTCAGCATGTTTTGATATTTTTAAAGTTTGAAAGCATATTTTCTATTTTGACTGCTGTAGCAAAATACCATAACTTCGGTAGGGTAGGAGAATTGTAAGAAAGCCCAGTTATAAGAACAACAAAAGCCCTCAAATAAATCTCTTACATTTCTGGACTCTGAAGTTCAAGCTAAGGGCAGCAGCAGGTGTGGACTTTGGTTAGGGTCGGGTCCATAGTAGCCAATCATTTATATGTTCTCACAAGCTAGACAGAAAGGAAGGGGATGTTTTAGGCCTCTTTCACTGGGACCCTAGTCTTATTCATCAGACTGCGCTCACCATCCTTATGGATAGAACTCACATGAGTTTTAGAAACACAATCATGCGGACCATGGCAACACAAACATTCTTTACATTAATTTGTAACATTAACTTTCCACTTCCTAGACATGGTGCTATTTCTACAGTGATTTTATATACCATTTTCCAGGGACCGTTAAGTCAAATCAGCGGAAGAACTAAGCAGGAAAAAGTGAACTGGGTTATCTCTGTCTCAGGGGTACAAAGAAGTAGAACAATCATCTCCTACCTCCTTTCTCTGCCAGGCAGTAAAGGAGATCATTGTACTTCTGGTTTAACATAAAGCAGATTATTTACAAAATACATCCATATGACAGTGTGATGTGCTTTACTTGCCTACAGGTCTCAATTACTGGAATTGTCAACTCCTTCAAACTATTTTTTTCCATTCACTATGAGCAGACCAACTCTGTTGCCCATCTGTGTGGCTTTCTGTAGCGTTCTCTTCCACACCTGGACTCCAGGATGTCGAGCTTTCCCAAAGGTGGAAAGGAGGGAGACAGTGCATGCATATGCAGAAAAAGATCAGTCCCAGAAGATGAACACAGATGATCAAGAAAACATCTCCTTTGCTTCAAAGTACATGCCACAGCAGATGTCCTCTGAAGCTCCAATGCTACTGTCTGCAGGACCTTCGGTGACACCATTACATAAAGTATTCTCTGTCAACAAAGAGAGCCAACTTCCAGGAGCTGAGCTTCTGCATCCTACCAGCCCTGGCATTTACTCTTCCAGTGAGCCAATGGTCTCAACCAGTGAACAAGGACATAGTTCCAGCCAGCTTGAAAGAATGTCTCCTGAGGACAGCCTTTCCAAGGCCATGTTTACTGTTGCTGTATCTTCACCTGCTTCTCTGAATCCTGACCAGGGGGGACCCTACAGCAATTTGAGTACCCAGCCTCTTGTAGAAGCAGTCACAGATGGAACACATAGTTTCCTGGAGTATGTAGATAACCAGCTGTTTGCAACTGAAAGTCAGGAAGTAGTTAACTTAGGGAATTCACCTTCTTCTTCTATAAATACCAAAGAACCTGAGAAAATCAGAGCAGATGCAGCCAGGATTATCACTGCCTTTCCTGGTGTTGATTCCACAAGAGACACAGAGCCTGAGAGGGAGAGGCCCTCAGAGGTGACAGCTGACTATGTCCAGAGCACTACCACCAACTATTTGGTGACAGTCCCCAAGAATGTCCTGACTATTGAGCCAACAGCTAGCAGTATTCTGGGAGACCCTAAGGTCACAGTGAGTGTCAGCACACCTGGCCCAGTCTCTTCTGTCTTCAGTGAGGAGTGGGATGACACCAAATTTGAAAGCATAAGTCGGGGGAGGCCCCCAGAGCCAGAAGCCAATGCAGAGACTCAAGTGAGAATAGAGCCCCCACATGGAACCCATGGTAGCTTTGAGGGGACTGAGGAGAGCACCACTTCCACAGAGGTTACAAAGGTGGCTCTGGGGTTCTCAGGAGGAGAAACAGCCTTAGGAACAGCCCTGGAAACTGCACTGGGGGATGAGAGGCCATCAGTCTTCACCCCTCAAATTTCCTTCCCTCCCACAATTCTGGCAGAAGACCCTGAATTTTCCACTATGAAGCTGTTCTCAAGTGCAGGAGGCTTCACAGCATCCACCCAGGGGGACAGGACCCAGCTCTCCTCTGGGACTACAGTTTCTACCTCTCAATATGAGTCTGTGTCACAGCAGGAAGAAGGAAATGTGTTAAAAGGTAAGGTAAAAAACTAAAGAATTAAAATAACAAAACATCCCCAAGCTTTGTTTAATTTGAAAACGTTCAATTTGGATATTTTTAAAATTTTATTTATAGTTGAAATTTTTTTGAGATGGGATCTTAAAAGTTGTCTTTGAATTCACAATGTTTCTGCCTTTGCTCATAACTACTAGGACTGCTGTTATGTGTCCTGTTACCTGGATGGTTTTATTTTGTTTGTTTACTTTAGCATTGAGACAGAATCTAGCTGAATGTCCTGGTTTGCCTTGAGCTTAAAATGTTGTCCAGTTCAACTGAAACTTACAACTATCCTCCTGCCTCTGCTTCCTCAGTGGTAATATTACAGATGTACGCTGCCATGTTTGTCTTTTTTTGTTTAGTTTTGTTTGTTTGTTTTTGCTTTTTAAATAATTCATTTAATTTTATTATGTTCATTGGTGTTTTGACTACATGCATGTCTGAGTGAGGGTGTTGGATCCCCTTGAAGAGGAGTTACAGACACTGAACTGCTTTGTGGATACTGGGAATTGAATCTGGGTACTCTGGAAGAGCAGCCAGTGCTCTTAACAACCTAGCCATCATTTTAAATCCTGGTTTTGCCTGTTAATGGTGACTTAGAAATAGTTACTCACATTTTAACCAAAGACAGTAGGATTCAAATAAATCATATATGTTCCATTAAAATCATTCTCTGTACATAAGTCAAAGTCCTCAACTTTGGACTGAAGTGATAAGTAGTTAAGCTCCCGAGCGGGTGTGCATTCCTCCTCTACACCCACCCAAATGTTTGGATTCATGAATGAAAGACATACACATGCAGCATTATTTTTAATATGCCCCAAGCAGCTCATTGGCTGGGTCACTTCCAAACCTTCCCACTGCTAACACACTCTTCCCTCTGCTATTCCTGAATTATTACTTACTAAAACCTATTTTACATCCTGGCTGCCACAGACCCTGGCCTGCAGCCCTGGTAGGCCACAACCCCAGACGCTTTCATCTTGGCAATGTCACTGTCTGTCTTCTACACTCCTCAGGCAGGAACCTTCTCCTCCCTGGCAATGGTGATCTCCTCTCCCTTGTGTTCCTTGCACGGGACCCTCAAAGTCCTGCCTCTGTCTCTTTGCCCAGCCATTGGCCACCAGCAACTTTATTTATCAATTAGAACCAGCTAGGGGCAGGTGCTGACAGCATATCACACGCAGAAACATGTGAATTCTTGTGTAAATTAGAAAGCCAGTTAACATAGGCAATAAACCAATCCACAATGAACTATTTTGCACAGACCCAATCTTCCTTGAGACATGTAGCAATATGTAAAGATGCTTTCAGTTGCTTTGCTTGAAACTTACTGCTGACATCTCCTGGGCAGAGACCAGGGATGCTTTAGAACATTCTCCATCTGGTGGACAGCTTCCAGAAGCATTAGTCTCAATCAATATATTAATAGCATTGTAACTAATGTAGTTAAATATTTTTCAACTTTTTTGTCATGAAAATATATAAAAACCTGTGAAATATGAAAGAAACAGCTATATTTTAAATAGTTTAATAACAATATTTGATACTTATTTGGACATCATTAATTACGTGCAAAATTTTTATATTTTTCAACAAAAATAATTAGGTAAATATTTATCTAGTGATAGTAACCACTGTGGTTCTCTGACCTTATAAACCCAAAGCTAAATTGTCTAGAAATAATATGGAAAGGAATTAAAAATCATCAGTAGACTTGATTCTAAATTTTCTCTTTTTTCCTGGCTACCATATCTTTGAATATTAGAAGATAAAAAACTCTAATTTTGTTGTTAATGGATTATGCGTTTACTATGTTGTTAGTCCCATAATAACATCTGAGAAGAGTGGATTTATGTAACGTTTATATGTATTCTCATTTCAAATTGTATCAGAATGTGAAAATCTTAAGACCTAGGCCAGGTAACCTATTAATAAGAAAAATATCAACAAAAAATATTGATACTATGGCTTATAAAGTTTTGTTGAGATCTAATATAAATGGTAAAAAATGGTCATTTGAAAAATAATAAACATAAATAACAGTTTACATCCCTATTAGAGTTTTGTTTTTGTTTGTTTTCTTGTTTTTGAGACAGGATCTCAGGTTGCCCAAACTCATACTGGCTAGCTTCTAGTTTTCAAAGACTGGGCTACTAAAGTGTAAGTTTTCATATATGCTCCCAGAAAATATTTTGTAAATTGTATTTAAACATTTTAATCTTTGAGACATTTTTTGAAACTATGTAGCCCTGTGTGGCCTCAAAAGTGTAGAGATGTACTTATTCATAAGGATATCTCAAAACCTAAGATAAAGGCATTACTACCAAATCCAGAATAACCTGCTTTAAAATGACATTAAGTGAGTTGGGCCTATAAAAGCATGAAGATCTTTAGGTAGGGTTAAACTAGAATTTTACTTCAATTTTCCATAGCACTTATGTTTCTAGAACATGAAGTCACATGGTCCCTAGCATACATTACACCATTACATTTATATTGTGATATTTTGAACTTATTTCAACTTTTACAAACACAAGCTAAAAATTAAAATGAGTTTGATAATATTCTGGCTATTCTGATGATCAAATATGCCTAAGGAAGCTGAAAATATCCAATTAATTTGTTTAGGATCATGAAGCTAGTAAGTGGTGAAATCAAAATTCAGACCCAAGTAACTTAACACTGCAATGTGCATTCTTAACCACTGGGGTTAACCAATAGGGCTCTACGATGGTATTATATACTCCTTCTCCTTTAACACATGTAGGAGGGTAAATTAAAAGTACATTCCACGTGCTGCCTGTCTTGTCTGTCCATCCCAGAAACTAGGTGAGCACTGGTTGGCTATTGTAATTATTGTTTTTTTTAAAAATGCCAACTTTCTTTTCCCCTTTTAGGTATGCAAATGTAAACATTCGTATGAAAAAACCCTTGTGAAAGATTTCAGTGTGACTTAGTTATGTATACTTTAGATCTTAACAGACTGATTCAGTTACTATCCAAACATGTCTGGGAAGCTCAGCTAACTATCTTTCTATTTTGTTTCAATTTTACTCTAGGGTTTTTGTGTGTTTATTCGTTTTTATATTAACTTCTTTATTTCTGGCTTAGATTGCTCCACAATTCCCACAAGCAGCCACAGTAACATTGTTTACTGGTCTTTGATTCCCAAGTTCTCTTTGTTGTTCTAGTCTCTGAAAGAGCTGGCTACTCCCTTTTCAGTTTATTAACTTCATAGTGAATTTAATATGTAGGAATTTGGTCTACTTTAAAGTGTTTCCCTCCTTCTCAGACATCACTCAAGAGATGACAATGGCCACTCAAGAAACAGACTCCACATTACCTGTGGTGACACAAGAGCATATGGCCACCATCGAGGTTCCCAGAGGCAGTGGGGAGCCTGAAGAGGGCATGCCATCCCCCTCTCTTGTGTCTGTTGATGTGGGTGATGCTGAGCTGTCCAGAAGATGGGAGTCTCTGGCCACTCCAGCCTCCACCACCGTTGTCCCTATGTCTCTCAAACTTACCTCTTCCATGGAAGGTCAGTAGTGGGGTGTGGGTTCAGTGTTTGAGTGACGGGTGTGGATCTTTACTGTTAATTACTGGAATGAGAGAGGCAGCTGGCCCTTTCACCAGCATACACATGTCCCCAAAACATGGTCAGCTCGCTTTGCTTGTAGAAATGTGTTAGAGCATCAATGGATGAGGCAGACTCCTCCCCTGGTTCCTAAGCCTAAGCCTCCTGAGGACTCTCACCTAAGAGTCAGGGTGGGTAAATGTAAAAATAGCAAGGGCCTGTCTGCCTTTGGGACCCCATGTATAATTCTGGACCACCCATTATACTGTCAATAGAATATATGGGAGATTAAAATTTAAAAGCAAAATTATGATTTGAGGCATTGTTTTTTTTTTCAGGATGATGAAATGTTTTCTGGGTGTAGCTAGGTTGGTGTGAGAAGAAGAGATGAATTTTAGTTATATTTAAGTACAGAATTTACTGTTCTTCTGATTTCTTGCCTTTCGAAGCTAATGTTAACATTTTCTGTGTTGACTATCTTGTGGGTCAAGTCCTGTCTCTTGTGTTTGGCAGATCTCATGGACACAATCACTGGACCAAATGAGGAATTCATACCAGTTTTGAGCTCTCCAGTAGCAACCCCTGCAATGACTGTGGAGGCTGCCACAATTTCTCCAGCAATCCCTTCTGAGGGAAGAACGAGTCCATCCATCAGCCGCCCAAATACAGCTGCCTCCTTTGGCCTGGAACAACTCGAATCTGAAGGTATCCTTGTCTCTGTCCATACATTTGAGAAACAACTAAATTGGTGTGCCTGTAAGCTCCTGGGTAAACTGGCCTAGGAAAATATAGTCTGCCACTGATTTTTCATGGCCCGTGAACTAAGAATAGTTTCTACATTATTAAATGGCTGAATAAGCTTGCAAGCACAGTATTTTGTGAAGTGTGCTAGTTATATAACCTGCAAGTGTCAGTGTTCATGAGTAGAGCTGCATCCCAGTCCAGGCACATCCTCATTTGCATGTTGATGATGGCTACCTTGGGGCCATAGCTCAAAGCTGAGACGTGGTTGTAAAGACTAAATGGCCTAAACAGCCCAGAGTATTTATAATATTGTCCTAGCAATCTCTAGCATGCAAATACACATATGTATGCATGTAGGTAGGTGTGTGGGTATGTAAAGATGTATGTGATTACCTACTGCAATTGAACATTAAACTCAACTTGGAGAGCTTTCAATGAACCTCAATATAGTACACACACACACACACAGAGCCCATAATGTGTGACCTTAACTGCAAGTAAGCACTGGACTCAGACTCCTCTTGAAGAGCTTTTTATTAAAATCATCTGCCTGAGATTTCTCTGTGTTTCCAGTTAAATTTACATGGGCGGAATATGGGATTAACATTCAAAATGAGTGTCTTAGTTCCTTTCATTATTCAGGCTGGATGAGAATAGCAGGCTTAAATGGAGGAGCCCTGTTTATTCAATTGGATTTTTCTTTTATGAAATTTTAAATGTTTACTGTGTTTTTATAACATCATTGTCAGTGCTGGGTTATTCTCTTAGTAACATTTTTGAGTTCCTGTCTAGGTACAGAGAGTTTCTTTATTACTTAGGGTGAGAAATCCATGCCAAATTGTACTATCTAAGGCATTGGCTTTGGCCATGAAAAGTGTAATTCAGGCATAGCTGCACATCAACAAGCGATAAGAATGCATATAGGGCCCACAGTCATGTGACTCCGTGAGTCAGCACCCTGAAAGGTGAGGAGTGTCACATTGTGGATGCAAATGATTGAATCTAGTTATGTTAGCCCAGACCACAGGGCAGCTCCTAGGCAGTCAGCCATGTCCTAAGAGAGAGGACGGAGGATGTTCTTGGATTCTGTGTTTTCTCTACTGCAGGGAAGAGGTTCAGCTGGGTGTATAGGAGATGCTTTTCCCCCCCAAGATTTATTGTATTTTTTATGAAAAATCTGTGTGTATGTCTGTATGACTGTATATGCCATGTATGTATTGGGACCCTTAGAAGCTGGATCCATAAGATCCTCTGGAACTAGAGTCATAGGAAGTTTCCATGGGTGCTGGAAATCAAACTTGGATCCCCCGCAGAAGAACACACACCCCTAACCCTTGAGCCGTCTCTCCAGCCTGTCTTATAGCCTTACAGAATGGCATTTATAATCTGCTCACTAAGAAACATAACACATGAAGAATGGCTTGGAGAATTTCACAGAAGAATGCTGACTTAAGAAGCAGACCAATATGGTTTCTCTCATGTCACATGAAGACAGATACCACATGGCTTTAAGCTCAAAGCCTCGTATTTTCAGTTCCCTGGTAAAAAATCAGGTTTCCTTAAATTGACTTGAAATATAGATGGCAGCTTTACTGGGCCAGATTCATTAAATCAAGGGGAAAAATGTATTTGTGAAGAGTCTATACTTGTAAAACTGTAGTAATTTTCTAAACTTAGTAGATGATGACAGTTGTGTTGAAATACGTGGGAATTTTTCTGATATTCTAAAGATACCCTGGGATCTGAGATCTTTTCTTCTACATAATATAGTTTTAGCTTCTTCTCTTTGTTTGAGAATATATTTTGTCAGGTTTCGAACTAAATTATGCTTCTTGTCAAGATTTCTGAAAGACTTTTTTTCGTTAAAAACCATTCTTTCTATTACCTTGTTGGACTTAAGATAAGGTCTAGAATTAAATTAGCACATAATATTTCCTAATGACAAAGGTGTAGAATTTATCTTGAATTACTATGTATTAAAAATGTCACAAGTTTATCCTGGCATTTAAATCTCAGAAAGCTGAAAGGACCATATGTATTCAAACAGATGAACCTACCAAACTCCTGGGGCCTCCATTTTCAGCCTGTTTCTCTGCCTTGCCTAGGAATGTAAACACAGTAGGAGATGGTGCTGAGGGGAGCATTTTAATTTTACCACAGAATTACAACTAGAAGAGAATTATTTTTACCAAAATAATTTATTACTTGTGGTACGTTTTCTTTAATTTCTTTCTAAGGTTGTTTTGTTTTTGAGACTGGGTATTACTAGGTAATTCCCACTGATCTAGACCTAGTTATAGAATGAGTTTGAGGCCCGTCCTGGACACATCAGACCCTGTCAAACACACAACAAATTTATTTATTTGTGTATTTATATGTGTATTTATTTGTTTATACACTTAATCTTTTATGACATAAGAGCAGTTCTCAACCTGTAGGTTATAACCTCTTTGGTGGGGGGGATTGGATGACCTTTCCACAGGGGTCACCTAAGACTATCAAAACCCACAGAGATTTATCTTACTTTATTATTCATAGCAGTAGCAAAATTACACAGTTATGAAGTAGCAAGGAAACTAGTTTTATGGTTGGGGGTCACCACAGCATGAGGAACTATTAAAGGGCTGTAGCATTAGGAAGGTTGAGAACAACTGCAGTAGAGGATAACTGTTTGCTTTACACAATTTAAAATTGTTGTGTGTTTCATTTACCTCTGAGGTGATGTAAATTAATCTAAGCTAAAAATCTATAACAGTACTGTAGGAAGTAGGACACTGCTTGAATATCTCCACACTTAGAAACTGAAGATGTTGCTCAGTGGTAGGGTGCTTGCCTAGTATGTGCAAGTCCCTGAGTTCAATCCCAAGAGCATGCCTTATCCCAAACAATTCCCATTTGCTCATTGTTTCAAATGACCCACTGCATACAGGCTTTTTAATCTAATAAATGAACAAGAATTCTGTGATAAATTCAGAAATAATAGAACCGTAGTTTGACTTGCTGGAGGATTACTTTTTATATGTATTTTATTTTAATAATTATAAGTTATTTACATACAGCATAAAAATATGGTGACACATATGTTTCTCTCTATATATGATGTTAGAATTTCAGGAGAAAGTAAGATTTTTGTTTTGTTCCATTTTGTTCTGTTTTGCTTTGCTTTGTTTGAGACAGTTTTTTACTTTGTATCCCTGGTTAGTCTGGAACTCTGTATATAGACCAGGCTGGCTTTGAACTCACAGAGATATACTAGCTTCTGCCTCTCATGAGCTGAGACAGAAAGTTGTGTTTGGAAAGGATGCTTTCATTTGTGCGTCTGAGATGATAGTTTTGGCAATATGGTGGTCTTCTTGCTGTTGACACTAAAGTCAAAAAGGCCTTGCCTTTTCTTATTGGTTAACTAGAAAGCAATTTGGAGGTGCACTAAGAGGCTTTAAAGAACAGCTTCTCAGATGCTGTTTTTGAAAGCTCCTCTGAGGATACTGCAGTGCTTGTTTGATTTAAAGTATTACTTAATGTGCATGGGTGTTTTGTCTGCGTGCATGTATGGGCACTACATGGATGCCTAGTGCCTACAAAGGCCAGAAGGGCACTGGATCCCAGACACTGAATTACACAGAGTTGTGAGCTGCCATACAGATATTGAGAATTGACCCAGATCCTCTGCATAATCAGCAAGTGCTCTTAACCTCTGAGCCAACTCTCTAGCCTTCTATACTTCATTTGTAAGGATCTCCTGTGACAGATTTTGAAAAATAGATTGCCAGACATTTCAGTTATTGATTGCCTCTTAGTGTGGCTCTTTTTGTTGTCATGCCCTGAAGTCATAGTGCATTCCCAGGCACCTGTGACAAGCCTCTTTTGAGCATCTGTCAACTCTCTTGGGTAGAAGAGCCAATCTCTTAGCACTCAGAATGGCTATCACATGCTTTCTAGTACTACTCATTTGGTCAGTGGTATTTTGAAAGTGTTTTAAATTAAAATTATGGTGCACTGCTACAAGCTGCTACAAGGTATTCACAAATCTGCTACACACACACACACACACACACACACACACACGACAGCAGACATCCATTAAATTCTTCTGACATTCGTTTTTTTTTTTTTTGTTTTGTTTTGTTTTTTTACCATTGGGAATAATTTATCGGTATACCCACACGATTTAGTAACATTGTTGCAGAGTTGATGTCCTTCATTGGCCTGTGAGGTGTGTGTTTGTGTGTGTGTGCGCATACAGTATGTGTGCAACTATTTATACATGCATGTGTATGTGTGTACTTGTGTACTTTTTCTGCCCAGCCCAGTACTGCTTGGCATGCTGATATTTAGTCATCCAAAAACATCCTCTTTAAGAATGAAGACAGGGTTTTGTTTCTTTTATATTCAGCAGGCTAGCACTGTTACTTACTCATGTTATTATGAATGCATTTGGAAAGTATTTGGCAACTCAGGGAATACCACAGAAAATTAGGGCTTTATTTAACAGAGCACAGGATATAATAACAGAGCACAGAGACATATGATAGATGTGTAAATTACACATTGCAGGGTGAAAAGTGAAAGTATTAAAAACGTGAACAGAGATTCAAGGTCAGGAGAAAACATTAGCTCTGGGCTACAGAGATATGAAATGCCATATATGCTCATCTTTCTGTGTATTTGGATTTACATAAATATGTTTAATTATTATTACATTATTGCTAACAGAAAAAGAGATGTGACAAATCCTCAAATGTGGAGAAATGTTAAATAGACATAAAGAGATACTATATGTATAACATTAATGATAAATTACCTTATGAACATTTGTACCAAGCAAATTTTTCTAATTTGATAGTGATGAGATGAATTAGTCTTTAAAATTAGTTTTTTAGCTGGATGTGGTAGCAAACACCTCTAATCTCAGCTCTTAAAAGGCAGCGTGTGGCAAGTTAATCTCTGTAAGTTTGAGACTA